ATCATGTGGTTTTTATCCTTTCTTTTATTAATGTGATGTATCACATTGATTGATTTGCAGATATTGAACCAGCTCTGCATTTCAGGAATAAATCCCACTTGATTGTGGTGGATAATTCTTTTTATGTATTGTTGGATTTGGTTTGATAGTATCTTGTTGAGACTTTTTGCATCCATGTTCATCAGGGAAATTGGTCTGTAGTTCTCCTTTTTAGTGGAGTCTTTGTCTGGTTTTGGAATCAAGGTAATGCTGGCCTCATAGGATGAGTTTGGAAGTTTTCCTTACCTTTCTTTCTTTTTTTCTTTTTTTTTTTTTTTTTTTGGAGCAGTTTCAAAAGAATAGGTGTCAACTCTTCTTTAAATGTTTGGTAAAATTCCCCTTGAAAGCCATATGGCCCAGGATTCTTATTTCTTGAGAGATTTTTGGTTACTTATTCAATTTCATTACTGGTAATTTAATTACTGGTAATTTAATTACTGATACACTAATATCATCCTCAATGGGGAAAAACTGAATGGGTTTGTTCAAATTTCCTATTTGTTTCTGCTTCAGTTTTGGTAGTTCATATTTTTCTAGGAATTTGTCCATTTCTTCCATATTGCCCAATTTGTTGGGATATAATTGCTCATAATATTCACTTATTATTGTTTGTATTTCTGCAGCAATGATTGTGATCTCTCCTCTTTAATTATTGATTTTATTTATTTGGGTCCTTTCCTTTTTCTTTTTGATCAAACTGACTAGGGGTTTATCAATTTTGGTAATTCTTTCAAAGAATCATCTCCTGGTTTCATTGATCTATTCTACTCTTTTTTTTTCAATTTTAAATTAAAAAAAATTTTTTAACGTTTTTATTTATTTTTGAGACAGAGAGAGACAGAGCATGAATGGGGGAGGGTCAGAGAGAGAGGGAGACACAGAATCTGAAACAGGCTCCAGGCTCTGAGCTGTCAGCACAGAGCCCGACGCGGGGCTCAAACTCACAGACCACGAGATCATGACCTGAGCTGAAGTCGGACGCCCAACTGACTGAGCCACCCAGGCGCCCCTTTTTTTTTTCAATTTTAATATCATTGTTCTCTGCTCTAATCTTTATTATTTCCCTTATTCTGCTGGTTTTGGGTTTATTTGCTGTTCTTTATCCAGCTCTTTTAGGTGTAAGGTTAGGTTGTTGTGTATTTGAGACCTTTCTTCCTTCTTTTGGAAGGCCTGGATTGCTATATGCTCTCCTCTTATGACGACCTTTTCTGCATCCCAGAGGTTTTGGGATGCGTTTTCATTTTCATTGGCTTGCATGTACTTTCTAATTTCCTCTTTAATTTCTTGGCTTACCCATTTATTCTTTAGTAGGATGTTCTTTAATCTTCAAGTGTGAATAGTTTATCTTAATGTTAGCTATTGGTTTGTGTAGTAGGTGATACTGATATTCTCTGCTCATAGCCCATTGGTTCACATTAGAAGTCACTTGTAGCTTGAGTAAACTCTTCTTATATAGGCTGATGGCTTTCTACCTCAAACTCTTTTCCTGAGTCCTTCATCTGGTTATAGGACAGTCTTAGCCTACAAGTTGGTCATGCTGGAAGTATTGGAGAATAAATCCTCCCAGGAGCAGCCCTCAAGCAATGATAGGTGGAGGTTAATGAATAATACCCTGACTTGCTCAGGAGGACAACTCTGAAGTGTTTGAGATGATCCCAGAAGTCCCAGTAAGATTGAACTCCAGTTGTTCATAGCATTAGCCTGCTCTTCACCACTTTGTATTGGTTCTTTCTCTTCCCTCACTTCCTTTCTTCCCCATGGTATTTCCTGGAATTGCTTCTCAAATAAATTACTTGCTCCCAAATTCTTGTCTCAGGGTCAAGCTGTTGGAGGAGCTCAAACCAAAATAGTTGGATAAATAGCTTCACTCAAAGTCACTGACAGTGATGCTACAGTAGAGAAAAAGAGGCTATGATTACCCTTTTGTCCAGATACAACATTGAAAGTGTTCTACACATACTCTAGTATGGGCCTGAGTTGGGGAGACATCCTGATGTTTGGAGAGAATTCAGAGAACTGAGATTAATTTCTGACTACCTCATGAAGTCACTAAGATTTTTGTGAGGGGATGATTGCATCTAATCAGAGCTTGCCAGGAGGTTTTCATAAAGCAGAAAGTACAGGTATGCCCATTTTATGTAAGGAAACTGCTGCACAAGTAGAAAATCTTCATCAACTTTTAGGCCAACATAAGGGGTACTGATGTGGTCTCACCAAAAGCCACATTATTATCACTTTCAAGTCAATAGCCACTTAAGAGTCCTCATGTTTTTCAAGAGCTTGTTGCAAGGTGATGATGAGAACAACTTGACTAAGGATTACTTACCGTCATGGTGAGTTGTAAGGCCAGCTGAAGGTGCCCTCTTGATCACAATGGCTCATTAGGTAGTTGAAGATAGAAGAGTCTCAAGCAGACCCATCCAGGTGTATAATGGGGTTATAAGAAACACCAGCTGGTGAGAGGTTAGAGAAGCTTTGGAGAAAATTATCTGGGACCTCAGATACACTACTAGAAAAGCAAATTGAAAGTTATTGGTTCAGTTATGTGTGACCAGCTCCATGACACTTTTTTCAAAGGAGAGATTCTACAAGCTCATGTTGGTACTTCTGGAGGAAAAAGAATGGGAAGGATTGAAAAGAGAAAAGACACCACAATGCTACCATTTGTGTTCAAGAAGTGGAGAAATACGATTAAGAGAGAAACTCTTTGGGGTACCTGGGTGGCTCAGTTGGTTGGGTGTCCAACTTCGGCTCAGGTCATGATCTCACAGTCTGTGAGTTCAAGCTCTGTGCTGACAGCTTGGAGCCTGGAGCTTGCATCAGATTCTATGTCTCCCTCTCTCTCTACCTCTTCCCCACTCATGCTCTGTCTCTGTTTCTCAAAAAATGAATAAATTTTATTTATTTTATTTTTAAAATAAAATTTTAAAATATTAAAAAAAAGAGAAACTCTTTATGTCAGATAGCTCATTTACAACCATTTACTGCCTCATGTCAGGAAGGAAAGGGCACTTATCAGAGAGGATAGAGAATGATCTGTTATGTAGTTTCACATATGCTTTCTTATAATATGAGTCTATAAGCTATTATCCTCCATTTTATTAGTAAGGGAATTAAGGCTCAGAGAGAAGGTGTGACAACGAAGATGTAAGGAAATATTGAGTACCGGTTACCTCTAGTCCTATCCAGTCCTTAAGGTGAACTCCTATTCCCCAGACCTTGGGATTGCCTAATAGCAAGGTGGCAGACCTCACAGGTGTGATGGTGGTGATGGAGGCCAGCCCTGCTCTGCCCCTCTCCAATGCTACCTCCTCCTCTAAGCTGGGGACCCAGGTCTCCTTTCCAGCACCTGCCATTTTACCTGGTCCTGGTTCTGCTTATGTGTTCTCACTGTGCAGATTGTTCATTCTCCAAGCCCTGCCTCTTCTGTAAAATGAAAATTTGATTATTTTCTAAAGGGGATTTAAATAAATGCTTTACATTCGTAAATATCAAAATGGAAAACCTGAATTCATCTTGTTTCTCCTTCTACCTCCAAGAAGAGAAATAACTCTCCAGGGCCAAGGTTTTTTACTTTCACCTAATTCTGTCCCACCTCCCACTGCACTGTAGAAGCTGGAAGTCTGAAAACTAAACTTCTTAGCCTCTCCAGGCTCCCTTGCAGCTAGGATTCTAAATTCAATTTTTGCCAGTGTTATTTATTCATGCAAAATTTGGATGGTGGAAGGGATGTGGAGGGTACCTATGCAGAGATGATGGTTGACAGGCCGCCTGTGACCTCCCAGTTTGCAGAGATGTGTGTGAGAAGACTGTTCTGGTGGCATTTGTGAGGGCAGGAGTGAACATAGTCTCATGACCTCCTGCTGCAGCAGTGTGGTCCAGTGGTAGCCCCTGCCTTCCTTACCTCCAGCTCTTCCACAGCTGTTGTGAGCACTGAGGTCCCTTATTAAATGCATTCTAAGAGTACCTGCTTACCAGTCCTCCTGCTGGCCCTCTGTTCTGGTTGCTATAGCTATATAACAAACCATTCCCAAACTTAGTGGCATGAAGTAATAATTTTATTTTGCTCACACACAAAAAAAAGCATAGTAGGTATGGCTTGTCTCTGCTCTATGATGTGGGATGAATGAAGCTATGAAGACTTAATGGCTAAGGGTAACTAACCAGTTGGGGGCTGGAGTCACTTAGAGGCCTACTTACCCACAGGTTTGGTAGTTGATGCTAGCTAGGCTAGAACTTCAGCTGGGACTGTCAATCAGAGCACCCACATGGGGCCGCCCCACCAGCCAGGGCTTCCTCCCAGCATGGTAGCCTTGGGTTGGTCAGACTCCTTATATGGAAGCTATGGCTCCCACAGTGAATGTCCCAAGAGAAACAGGTGAAGATTCCCAGGCTTTTCCAAGCTCAGAGATCACACCTTAACCACTCTCACTGCATTCTTTTTTTTTTAATTTTTTTTTCAACGTTTATTTATTTTTGGGACAGAGAGAGACAGAGCATGAACGGGGGAGGGGCAGAGAGAGAGGGAGACACAGAATCGGAAACAGGCTCCAGGCTCTGAGCCATCAGCCCAGAGCCTGACGCGGGGCTCGAACTCCCGGACCGCGAGATCGTGACCTGGCTGAAGTCGGACGCTTAACCGACTGCGCCACCCAGGCGCCCCTCTCACTGCATTCTTTAGGTTGAAGCAATCACAAGCTGATCCAGACTCAAAGGGGAGGGGATACAGTCTATATCTCTAGATGGGAGGGGCTTCAAAGAATGTGTGGCCTTAATTTAAAACCCCTTAACCCGCTTTCCACAAAGAATCTCAGTAATTATGTTTTTCCAGTTTTACTGAGAAATAGTTGACATGCATCATTGTATAAGTTTAAGGCATACAGTATGATGGTTTGATTTACACATATTGTGAAATGGTTACCTCAAGAGGTTCAGCAAACATCCATCTTCCCACGTAGACACAAAATATGCATTGCTTCCCAAATTTGTTATGTCTTTCTTACATAAGGGCCATGCTAGTCTTCTCTGTGTCCTTCCAATTTTAGTACGTGTGCTGCTGAAGCTAGCACTCTCAGTAATTGTTTAATGTGTGATGGATATTCAGGCAATAAGGTTTTATTAGGATAATGACATCCTTGGATCTCCTTCTGTTTTCCACTCAAGCCAACAAATTTCAAGTTAGGAAAGAAAATAAGCACTTTTGCAAATATAGAGACAAGAAAAAATATATTCCCACTTAGTATTATGTACTTTGAAGAGTTTCTCTACCAGAAAAAAGGGGGGGGGGAAGGAAAATGGTTTCAAAAATATATTTCCAAAAATATTATTTTTAAATAAATAGAATCAATACAGAAAAGGAAACACCCTTTCTTGCCAGGGAAACCTTCCTGGGCCTGCCTGTCTATCAGGTTCACCTATTCCAATCTTCATGGTTTCCCATCCTTGATCCTTGGTTTATAACAAAATATTTGTGTGATCCTTTCTATAAACTTTATATTGTGAAAAATTTCAACCATACCAAAGTAGATAACATAGTATCATGAACTTCCAAGCCACCGTTATGAGTTTCAACATTTTGTCAACTCATGGGAAATCTAGTCATATCCACATTTTTCCTTCCTTTTGAAGCCAATCCAAGACATCCTATTTCATCCATAAATATTTCATTATATGTCTCTTAACAAGAAAGCCTCTTCTTTTCTAAACACAACTATAATACTATCACATTGAAAATAAGTACAATAATTCTTCAATAACAAATATCCAATCATTCCAAATGTCTACTTATCTTACATAAGTTTTATAGTTTGTTTGAATTAGCATCAAAATAGGAGTCACATAGTGTGATTAATTGATATGTATTTTAAATCTCTTAATTTGTAGGTGTTTCTCTCCACACCTTCATTTTCTCCCATTGAAATTTATTTGTTGAAGTGGATTATTTGTCCTATAGAGTTTCATAGAGTCTGGATTTCACTGACAGTTCTCTGGGTCATGTCTAACATGTTCCACTCTCCTCACCTTTTTTTTCTGTAAATTTAAATGTGAACAAGAGGCTTTTTCAGATGTAATTTGTATGATTCTTTTGATTAATGCCTGCCCCCTTCTCTTGACTGTGAACTCCATGGAGGCAGGCTCAGG